TTTCTGAAGAAGAGTCCTGACCCGAAACGTCAACTTTCCTGCTCCTCTGATGCTGCCTGGCCTGCTGTATTCGTCCAGCTCCACACTGTGTTATCTCTGACTCCAGCATCAGCAGTTTTTACTATCCCTTTTTAATAAGTATGTTTCAATAAATTGAGGGGCATAGATAAGGTGGATAGCAAGGTTTTTTTTCACTAGGGTGGGGGAGTTCAAAACTCGGGGGCATATTTTTAAGGTGAGAGGAGAAAGTTTTAAAGAGGACATGAGGGGCAACATTTTTACATAGAGAGTGGTTCGTGTGTGGAGTGAACTACTAGAGGAATCATAGAATCCCTACGTGTTGGAGCAGGCCATTCGGCCCATCGTATCCATTCTGACCCTCCATAGAGCATCCCACCTAGATCCACTCACCAACCCAATCCCTGTAGCATTTCCCAAAGCTAATCCACCTAGCCTGCTCACCCCTGTCCACTAGGCAATATAGCATGGCCAATCCACCTAACCTGCACATCTTTGGACTGCAGGAGGAAACCAGTGCACCTGGAGGAATCTGATGTGGACACGGGGAAATTGTGCAAGCTTCCCATACAGACAGTTACTGGAGGGTGGAATTGGACCCAGGTCCCTGGCACTGTGAGGCAGCAGTGCTAACCACTGAGCCACCGTGCCGTTGATAGTGGTGGATGCTGATACAGTTAACACATTGAAAAGACATGAATAAGAAAGGTTTGGAGGGATATGGGCCAAATCCAAGCAAGTGGGACTAGTTTAGTTTGGTAACATGGTTGGACCGAAAGGTCTGTTTCCATGCTACATGACCCTATAACAGTCACATACATAAAAAAAAAAGTACTGAAGAGTATGTGTTACAGCAGACAAGAGATTGTGGAATATTGCTGGACTCATGATCCAGAGGGCAAGACTAATGCTTTGAGGGTAAGAATTCAAGTTTCAGCTGGTGGAATTGAAACTTAATAGATCCAGAATTGACAGCTAGTTTCAGTCACCAAAAGCTGAATTTTACCAAAAATCAAATAAATGTCTATTTCAAGAGTGTCATGGAGAGTTTCTCTTCATGAGCTTTCGCGAGTATCTCATGCAATATTCTGCTGTTCACCTCAGTATGTCTGCATCACGCCTGTATGGTGCCACTCTCGTCACGTCTTGCACTCACCAACGGATAAAGTATGTGCCGCTGCCAGGATCTTCTTGGAATTCTTCCACTGGCAGCATATGTAAAGCCCAACTGTGTACCAAGACAATTGCTGCCAGCCACAAATAGTCCCTCACAGTACACTTTGTGGGAGTAGTCTTCGCATGGTCAGGAAGGAGAGATCACACTGCAGTGATGCAAAGCCAGACTGAGTTCGGTTCGGGGATTTTGGAGTCAGTGTGGGAATTTCGTGCAGAGTGGAAGAGGTGCTGTTTGCTTGCTTTTTGGGCATAGAATTTGTAACGTTTCTTTATCGGGAGTAATTGAGAATTGGGAGCCCACCACAAAATAAAGAGTGACATCACAGGAAAACCATACATTCATTGGTTGGTAATAGCTGATTGTTTTACTGTCTATTATAAGTTACTTTCAGATTGAAGGTACATAGAAGAAACATTTACAGGTTACAAACTAAATGACCACTAGGAAATTTTGGAAAAAAAAATTTAAGAACTAAGTAAATAAAATAGAGGTGCAGGGCCAGGTGATGTGTTGTATGTGCATGGTGTGGGAGCTGGTGGACCCCATTGTGGTTGAGAGTGATGCATCTGTTGCTTGAGGAACTCCGGCTGACAGTTGATGAGCTGGAGTTTGAACTTCTGAACACTGTGACACATCAGGGAGGGGAGCGTGTTTCAGGAGGCAGTCACGCCCCTTCGATTAACTACATCAAATTCGGTCAGTCGTCAGGGACAGGAGGATGTGACTGTGAACGAGGCAGGTAGAGGGATCCAGGAGGTAATGCTGAAGGAGCCTCAACCCTTGAACCTGTCTAACAGGTTTGAGATTCTTGCTCCCATGCAGATGAGAATTGAGGCTGTATGGAGGATGAGCAAGCTGACCAAAGACATGCAGGTTAGGTGGATTAGCCATGGGAAATGTGGGGTTTCAGGGATAGGGTGGGATGCTCTTTGGAAGATTGGTGTGGACATGATGGGCTGAATGGCCTGCTTCCACACTGTAGGAATGCTATGACCATAGTGCTATGATGCAGAGAGCCATTCGGGGTGGGGGTGGCAAAGAAAAGGGAAATGTAGCTGTAATTAGGGATAGTAAAGGAATAGACAATGTTTGATGTGACCAGGATCGACAGTCCGAAGGCTGTCAGGTGCCTGGGTTCAGGAGTGTCATTCGGGTTGCAGAGGAACTTTGAGTGGGAGGGAAAAGATCCGGTTGTTGTGGTCCACACAGGTATCAATCATATAGGTAGAAAGAGGGAAGAGATTCTGCTGGGGGAATGTGAGCAGCTAGGTTAATGCGCAGGTTCAGTTGGCAGTCAAGAAGGCTAGAATACAAGAGCAGAGATGAACTGCTCAGGCTGTAAAAGGCTATGGTCAGACTGCATTTGGAATATTGAGAGTAGTTTTGGGCTCCATATCTAAGGAAGGATGTTCTGGCATTGGAAGGTGTCCAGAGGAGATTTACAAGAATGATTCCGGGATGAAGGGCTTGTCCAATGAGGAGTGACTGGAGACTCAGAGTCTGTATTTGATTGAGTTTAGAAGGATGAGGGAGGAATCTAATTGAAACTTACAGAATACTGAGAACCCAGATGGAGTGGACGCATAGAAGATCCTTCCACTAATGGAAGAGTCTAGGACCCGAAGGCACAGACTCAGAGTGAAGGCAACGACCACTGAGAACTGAGATGAGGGGAAATTTCTTCAGCCAGAAGATGCTTAATCTGTGGAACTCATTGCCACAGAAAGCTGTGGAGGCCAAGTCATTGAATGTATTTAAGACAGAGATAGATACGTTCTTGATTATTATCTGGATCAAAAGGAGAAGGCAGGAGAATCAGGTTGAGAAATATATCAGCTGTGATCAAATAGCTGAGTCTTCTTGATGGGCCTAATTTAGCTCCGGTATCTCATGGTCTTGTAGGAGGGTAATGATCACAAAAAGGACACTTCATCAGAAATAGAATCTCACATTCATAAATATTTTGCTACTTTAACATCATCTGTTTGATCAACTGTCAGTATAACTGCAGCTACAAGATTCTAGTTATAAAGACTACTCATCCTTAGTACTATGCCACATTTACACACAGGGCCCAGTGCTTTTTAGGCAGAAAGAAAATGACCACACCCTGCACCTTTTCACTGAGACAGGACTTTGAATACAGCCAATCCCTGCTGCATGCCCATGGCAGTGCTCTGACCAAATCAACTTTCCTGGTTTGCATTTAATCAGTTAAATAAGATAGTTAACAGTTCATGCCGCATCTTCATGCAAACCATAATCCAACCAACAAACACTACTTCTCTTGCAGCGTAAATTGTTGTTTCCTTTCTTAAGCTGGTTTCCTTGAATTTCAGTTCTGCTGAATGCAAGATGAAATAATTCAACTTTGTGTCTCTTCTTAGCAATATTTTATTGATACCAAATGATGTTAAGATTTTTGAAGCTGAATTCAGATTCACAGACTGCTGTGATTGAATATGAACTTTCTCGGGATCAAGTTCACAGCTCAGAATTATTGTTCCAATAACACAACCACCAGACTATATGCCTGTGAAAGAATATAAATGAGTTTAATTACTCTTGTACATGACATTTCATTGAAAAAATCTGCATACACATTTTAAGTACTGTATTTGATAATATTTATTCATTATGAATTAAAATTTTCTTTAACGTGAAGTTAAGAAATTAAACTGGGTGATTCTGTCTATTTGCATGTGCTGTGTGTATTATTAAAATTGTGTCAAAATGTCCATTTGATACCAATATTTCTTCTTTCTGTGCATCTAGCTCTACATGCTGCAGTCCTCTCTGGTCATGTTAGCACAGTGAAGCTTCTGTTGAAATATGGGGCACAAGTGGATGCCATGGATGTGATGAAACACACACCACTTTTCCGGGCTTGTGAAATGGGCCATAAAGAAGTGATCCATACACTCATTGAAGGTTAGATTTTGTTCTGATTCCCATGGAGACCAAAAATATTTTTAAAAGAAAGGAATAACTACAACACCAAAGGAGAGAAAACTGTTAGACAAGATATAAATTTTTAAAACATTTTTGACATAAAGCTAACTAGAATCACCCATTCATTAACATGCGAAAGGCATTTCATACAAAAGGCAAGTTTCACTTTTAAATAGTTCCTATGACAAAGAAATGCCTCACATACTCACAAACACTTATAATACTTCCCTCATAATTGTGCAACCACATGCAATCTCAAAGACTTTCTAATTTGTCCTCTTTCTTTTAGCCATGATCATATTGAATGGCAGGTTTGAGAGACAAAATGGCTTCCTTCTGTTCCTATTTTCATATTTGGTATGTTTGTAGGATTTTTCAATCCCATTCAATCATTTGACCCCTGAATCATAATGATCAGCAACCTTATTTGATTTGGAAGCCCAAAGCAGAATTATTACTGACAAGGTGCATTTCTACAAATCCTCTTTCACACATGTCATTATAGTCCCGAAGGAACAGAATCCACAGAGACTCCTTTCTCTAACCCTTTTAAATAGTGTAATGAGCTCTGACAATACCAAGAGAGCAGCATTGGGTCTTGTCCAAACTACAATTCTTTGTCTTTGCTGTCTTCCACTCTCTGCTCTTTCCAACTGTATAATGCACAGTCACACAGTTTCTTTCTCTCTCTCCCTCTCTCTCTCTTTCTTCTCAAGACTTGCTTCTTCTGCTTCAACATCAAGACCTTTTAAAATCTGCCAAACCAATAAAAACTTTTTCATTCAGAGAGAACGTTGCTTGTTTCCTCTTTACGCAAGTTCTGTATCCTGAGCTTACAAGAAAACATTGCTGACCCAACCCCACTGCAATTAAATTTCTGTTTACCTTGTGCTTTGTAGCTCTTCGTCCCCATGTCAGATCCAGGTTACACACTTTTTTTTTAACCTAATGATGGCATAACCACAAAAAAATTTACCGTCTTTTAGAATACTTCCTGTCTGACTTCCCAAAGCAAATAGGTCATTATAGATTTACTTTAAATTTAGTTAAATACTAGACAAAATAGTTCCTTTGACAGCAGACATTTTTTTGAATATTTTCCTCTCCTATCCAAAGCTAACATGCTGTAGAATCTCTTGACCTCACTTAAGTCTGGTAATCCATCAAAAGCATTTTTAAAATCTCAGATTTTCCTTACTTAGTTCATAGATAATAGCCTGAATAATCAAACATGTTATCTACCTACTACTTAAACCGTGTAAAAGATTATAAAAAATATTTCATGCTGGTGAACCGTTAGGATAAAAGTACCCTTTAAATGGTTGCCTTATTGGTTGATCTATTCTGAGTTGCATGTATAGGTTTGGCTTAATGCAAGGAAGAACGTGAAAGCTAAATCTAAACATCTCAAATGTGAAAGGCTTTTCAGGACATAGAAAAGTTTCTGCTGTGGAAAGCTTGTGAAACCCTTAGATTTCCTCCCCCAATTAAATTTCAGCATATCCACTTGACCTCTTTTGAGAGTTGTGCTTGTTAATCATATAGCTAAAGTTTAAATATCTTTCTCAATTCAATCTACAAGTAATCTATACAGAACCTGTCACTTCATTTCTGTCATGGAAGCTTATGTAGAGTTATTTAGAGTAATGCGTAACAGTATTTTTAATTAAACAAATTCTAATTCTAATTATCACCAGGACCACTAATTTATGCTTTATTTTTAACATACTTTTCTGAGATAATTTCTAGGATTTCAGGAATCACATTTTGATTTATTCTGGTAATTAGATAAATATATTTGTTTCGTCTCCATTATCAATTGTTTTCAAGTTGTTTCAAAGTTAAACAATCTTCTTCGATGCTTCAAAGTCATTTACTGTTGGAAAATGAGATTTGTCTAATCATATTTATTAAGTAAATAATAACAGAGAGAAGTAGGAAGTAAATTAACAGACAATTTGATGTAAGTGACTAAATTAAGAGTAGGTTATAATACTAAGAGCGTTTTGTCGTTCGTTTTTACCATTGACCTTTATTTCTCTATGTACAAATGACCGTACAGCTCCATATCTTCTTTGCTGAAGCAGTTGTCTTCTAAATTAGATTTCTGATGCTGCTTTTACATTTTTTTGAGGATTCTGAACTCTTTTCAGTTTCCATCCAGACAGTTATAATAAATGTAACTTATGGCATTCCATATTAATGGTAGGAGAAATCCTATTGGCCAGGATACTATAATCTCTTACATATGATGTTGAATAGATTTCATAGTCTGTCTGCAATGTCTATATTTTAAAGAACAACACTGAACATTTAACAAAGTAGCTAACCTTCATATAACACCTTTAATGTTCTAAGATATTTCGAGTTAGAGGCCATATCAAGTAAGACTAGAGTGTAATTTAGGGAAAAGTAGTGACAGTGCTATTGAGGCAATATGTTACAATAAGACTTTTTAAGTTAAGGCAAAATGCTAAAAGATTGGACGTTTCAGAGAAGTAAACAGATTAAGTGAGTGGGCAAATGTTTGACAGGTGGAATGTAACGTGGGAAAAGGTGAGGGATACGCTTTGGCAGGAAGAATAGAGCAGCTGAGCTTTTTAAATCAAGAAAAACTGCAGAAAGCTACAGAACAGAGAGATTTACAAATCCTTGTACATGAATCTCAAACAGCTACCATCCAAGTTCAGTGAATAATCAGGAAGGCAAATGTTGACCTTTATTTCAAAGGGAATGAAGTATAAAAGTAGGGAAGTAATATCTCTTCTCACTGGTCTGGCCCTAATTTTTAGACAATACCCCCTTGTTCTAGAATCTCCATCCAGTGGAAATAGTTCATCTTTATCTGCCCTGTCTTTGCCTGTTAATACCTTGAAGACTAAAATCTAGCCCACCAAGTAATTCGTTCACTAGCAAATTAATAAATCGTAACCAAATGTTAAAAATGTTCATTACAATTTAGGGAAATTCAGAAAAGATTTGTTGAGACACTATTGATTCCTTTTGTATTTCTGGTGGGAATATTTCTGTTTGGATTGAAAATCCCAAATCCTATTCAATCTAAGTGATTTATCTTCTGTTAATTTGATAATTGTAGTTTTAATCTCCATAATTTCTACAATTGCAGCATTTACTTAAATAACTTTCACATTTTGTCACAGTTCTCCTCTTCGCAACTCCAACTTGAACTTGTCACTGGCATGACATAGAACTCCAGGTTTCTGCTACTGTGACTTTGTGCCAGCCTCTAAGAGATTTATGAGAGCAACCTGAAGGTCACTGGATCTTCTTATCTCCCCTCCCACACCTTGAAAAGACATTTTGCCATTATTTACCATTTACTGTATTCCCATGTTTGAGATTGAAAACTTATAATTTTGATTAAATCCATGGGTTCAAAGCTTTCATTTATTTAAAACAGACCCAAATGGAAAGGGAAAGGTGAGCTTGAGAACTGACACTTTTAGTTTCTAAGGAAACTAAGGCTGAAACTAAGATTGAAAACCAAAATATCTGGGGAAACTGAAAATTGCTGAAATCACCTAATAGGACTGAGAGCCATTAGGGCTCAGATGCTGATCGCAGTGGTGTAGTATAAGTACGGTGAAGGAGATGGAGGCTAGATCCAAAAGCTGAGAAAAGACAAATATACAGTTGCTGCAGCTGTTTCTGTTGCGTAAAGATAACATTGGTGGATCCACTGCATCCAGACCTTTGTAAGCAAAATTGAGGAATTTCTGCAGATGTATGCCAGACTGTGCCCATGGAACTGCAGTTGCTTGTAGGCTGTTTTTGGTTAGGGTTCAGGGTGGATACTAGGAGGAAAGGAACTGTAATTAGAAACATAGGGGATAGGAATAGGAGGAAGCAATTTGGCCCTTGGAGCCTGCTCTACCATTCGTCACAACCATGGCTGATTATCCAACTCAATAGCCTCCTGTTTTCTCCATAACCTTTGATCCCATTCACCCCAAGTGCTATATCTAGCCACCTCTTGAATACATTCAATATTTTGGCATCAACTACTTCCTGTGGTAACAAATTCCACAGGCTCACCATTCTATGGGTGAAGAAATGACTCCTCATCTCCGCCCTAAATGGTATATGCTGAATCCTCAGACTGTGACCCCTTGGTTCTAGACACACCTACCATCGGAGCGTCCTCCCTGCACCTACCCTGTCTGGTCCTGTTAGAATTTTATAAGTCTCTATGAGATCCCCCCTCATTTGCCTGAACTCCAGCGAAAATAATCCTAACCTAGTCAATCTCTCCTGGTATGTCAGACCCGCCCTCCCTGGAATCAGCCTGGCAAACCTTCTCTGTATTCCCTCGGGAGCAACAGCATTCTTCCTCAGAAAAGGAGACCAAAACTGCACACACTATTCGAGGTGTGGCCTCACCAAGGCCCTGTATAACTGTAACAACACATCCCTGCTCCTGTACTCGAAACCTCTCACAATGAAGGCCAACGTACCATTTGCCTTCTTTACGACCTGCTGCATCTGCATGCTTACCTTCAGCGACTGGTGCACAAGGACACCCAGGTCCCACTGCACACTCCTCCCCCCACCCCCACACCCCCCACCCCCTCCAATTTACAGCCATTCAGGTAGTAATCTGCCTTCTTGTTTTTGCTTCCAAAGTGAATAACCTCACGTTTATCTAAATTATACTGCATCTGCCATTGATTTGCCCACTCACCCAACTGTCAAGATCATGCTGAAGGATCTCTGCATCCTCATCACAGTACATCGTCCCACCCAATTTGGTATCATCTGCAAACTTGGAGATGTTACATTTTGTTCCCTCGTCTGAATCGTTAATATGTATTGTGAATATTCTTTGTGAAGAAGACAGAGTTTATAAGGTTAACAATACATGTGATCAATGGATTGCTGAGCAAGTTCATAAGATCTGTCTTTGATTTATGTGCCACTTGAAGTGTAATTCATAGCTTATAATTAACTGCAATTTGCCTGTTAATTCATGTTTAAGTTGTGTTGATGCTGGATACCCTAAATTGGCATTTAGTGTTTGCCTTGTTTGATTCCTGAATGGTAAAAAAAAAGCTTCCATTTCAAACTGCAGTAAATTGAGGCTTCATCCTTTAAATAAAACACTGGGATTTCAGATGTCCTGTTTTTTTTAGAAAAAAGTGCCGGACTCGACTGAAATGATAACCCTTTGTGGAATTTTCTTCTCTAGAATCTGTGGTACAGTAAATTATGCTCCGATGCAGTGCATTACCATGTTGCCCCCATACTAACGCGCTTTCTCAAATTAAAAGCTATAATCAAATTAAATGGTTTACATAAGGAATAGGAACAAGAGTGGATTATTCAGCCCCTCAAACCTAATTTGCCATTCAATAAGTTGGTAGCTTATCTAATTGTGACCTTAACATTAGTTTTCAACCTGATCCTCCTCCCTGCAGAACCCTTGAGTCCCTTTCAGTCGAAAATCTGTCTCTCAGCCTCAAATATATTCAGTAGCCCAGCTTCCGCTGCTTGATGGGAGAGGAACATTCTAAACAGTAATGACCCTCTGAAAGAACAATTTCCTGTCTCCTCAGAAAGACTTCCACTGTGACTAAAATGTGTGCAAGAAATTGTGTAACCAGTATTCACATTTTTCACTTCACTACTATAAATCAGCATCAATCTGTGACAAAGAGACCATGTACTTATTAGGAACAGCATATATTTAATCCACCATTGAAAAATTAGGATTTTGTTTTATGTACGTTGTTACGATCCAGAAAACAATACTTTAAAAAGATGGTGAAACACATTTAGTAGTAAAATTCAAAAGTGAATTCAAAATATATTTAAAAAGGAGAAAGTTGCTGTGTTTTGTGCAAAGAAGCATTTTGTCAGATTAAATAAATGGATTTTTCAAAGAATTAACAGGTCACAATGGACCCGACCCTCATTGATCTAATAGTTGAGGTAAAGGTCAAAATTTCTTAAATCTTTGAAAAAGTATTGAACATTGAAGAATTTCTCTAAGTTCTTGATTGTAATTTTACAGGTGGTGCAAGAGTTGATTTGCTTGACCAAGATGGTCATAGTCCTTTGCACTGGGCCGCCCTTGGTGGGAATGCAGATGTCTGTCAGATCCTGATTCAGAATCTGATCAATCCCAATGTGCAGGATTATGCTGGAAGAACACCTTTGCAATGTGCTGCATATGGAGGTTACATTAATTGCATGGCGGTACTCATGGAAAACAAAGCGGATCCCAATATACAAGACAAAGAGGTAGTCTGTCAGATATGTTGTTGAAGAGAATGTTGTTGCTGTGCAGATAATGCCTTTTTTTTTAATTCCATGTAGTTTCTCAATTCTCAGATTCCTTTGGTAGAATGGATTTCAATTATGTAAACAGTCCAGTTATTTACAAATCGCTTTTTGCGTCTGTTAGTTTATTAAGATTATAATAGAATATACCTCTGTTAAATAGTAATTTGATTTTGAACATTAAGTGTGATTCACTACCTGCCAGAACTTGGATTCTCTAGTTTCAGAGATAGTAGGAACTGCAGATGCTGGAGAATCTGAGATAACAAGGTGTAGAGCTGGATGAACACAGCAGGCCAAGCAGCATCAGAGGAGCAGGAAGGTTGACGTTTCGGGCCTAGAA